AAAGCACAAAAAAAAAGATCCCCCCTCCAAGTGGGATATACTGGGTTGGTTCACAGAGAAGAGATGTGTTCATTTTAAATCTTGAATTTGTTTTGTTTGTGTGTGCGCAGAGTTTGCATACCCATTTCTCAAGAAGGCGAGTTGCATGTTGGGCAACATATCAGCACCACCTGCATTTGCATCAGCAAAATACTTGGCTTCTGCTTCTCAAGCTTCTACCTCAGTTCGTGTTACTACAGGCATGATCCGGATACGGGATGTTTCTTTCACAGGGAGCAAGATGGATTGGTCATTGGGCAAGCATGGTCAACTCAACATCGTTCTCTCGTTTGGGTTGGAGCAAAATGGCGATAATAATTCTGCAAATGCACATGAAAGAAAAGGGGATTCTCGCAGTTGGTTTTACTGCCTATTTGTTTGGATTATGGTTCTTTCGTTGAGCTTCAAGATGAGCAGTCTGATTTGTCCGAGGTCATACATGAGCTGAACAGAAACTTCGTCGTCGCTTCATGGTTTTATCTTGTCTGCTTAATTTAGCACTCTTTAACAAATAATCATTACGGAGGCCACATGTTGTATGCTGACTGCTGCTCTGATGATTCAAAATCTGGAGTTGGAAAATGTGTTTTTTTGTTAAAAGAAGTTGGTAAGAACGTTAGAGAGATTCTGGGATTTAAGGTTTATGTGGAACTGGATAGAAATAGTACATCGCTGTTTCATCTCTTTGTTGATTTGGCATGTGTTTATTATGTATTATTATGCTCTGCTATATGTTACTGGCTTAACCAGTTTTCAACCCTGGATGGGACCATCACTGAATATGGAGAAAAATGCAGTTTACTAAATACTGCTTTCTTTTGGTCTTTTTTTCCCTTAGGGGCGTTTTATCAAACGTCTACGGGGCAAGCTCTTTCTGGCAAGAGCGTCACCCTTGTTTACTTTATCAGATAACATAATCAGCCATCAAAGTGGATTGTTGGCAAGCTACTTTTACCTGATAAATGCTTATTGGGTAAGAGTTTTTACCTGGTAAAAGTCTCAGTCTTTGCTATGCTTTTTACCGGGCAAGATTCTAAGCTCTTGTCATGTTCAGTGACACCCGATAAGCACTTACATGATGAGTGTTTGGTAAACAACCCCTTACTTTTTTTTTTCTTCCAATTATGTCTTGCATATGTTAGAATTAGGTAACTTCTAACATATCCGTTTAAGTCATTTTATTTGTTATCGAACTTATCAACTAGTTTTTATTAAAAATAATTAATTTATAAGCTAGTTTGTTATACTCATTTAATATATATATATATATATATATATATATATATATATATATATATAAGGGAGCGTTCAAATAAAAACCATTCAATTGGTAAAAACCGTGAAAA